GCATACACATTTTTGTATTGGCTGCCTTTCTACATTAGCCATACAGGTATGCTAACTGTTATGTGTTTGTTACGACAGATTTGCAGTCTTTTTATAACAGTATATTTTATCACCATATTAGCTGAAAGTTTCTCTGATTTCTTTGTATCCTTTGATATTGCTGCAGCTATAGATGGAAAGTATTTGTCCAATGAGGAGGCTGGAAACTTGTCGACGTTATTTGATGTTGGAGGGGTAGTAGGTGGAATCCTAGCAGGTTACATATCTGACCGCTTAGGCGCTAGAGCTATAACCGCTGCCAGCTTCATGTACTGTGCTATCCCGGTTCTCTACTTGTATCGGAGCTATGGACACATCTCCATGACCATAAACATCATCCTTATGTTGATTACCGGAGTATTCGTTAACGGGCCTTATGCATTGATAACAACTGCTGTTTCGGCTGACCTGGGAACACATAGCTCTTTGAAAGGCAATTCACGAGCGCTTGCAACTGTTACTGCCATTATTGATGGCACTGGCTCAATTGGAGCTGCCATTGGACCACTTCTAACCGGTTACATATCAGCTATGAGCTGGAGTGCTGTTTTTACAATGCTCATGGGAGCAGCTTTTATAGCTGGTCTGCTTCTAACCAGGCTCGTTGTAGCTGAAGTGGGTGCCAATATTCATCAATTAGGCTCCCCTAGATCAAGGTCCCCTGACCTTGAAGTGTGAAAACAATAACAAATGGTATTCTTTAATTGCTTTTGTGAATGCATTTCCAAGCCTCAGTTCGGGTATTAGCCTCCGGTCACAGAGATGTAGAGGTGGAGATGCTAAAATCTAAATCAAGATTTCAGGTGGCATCTTGTATAAAGTCAAGAAATGAGAGGGTTTTATTCTCCTTCTCTGTAGTGCATGGGAGTGAGTTTAAAAGGGGGAAAAACTGCTGATCACTCCCTTTCTCATGAAATACCATTTCATTTCCACATGTACATTTTTTGTGTGCCAGAAAAGGATCAAATACAGCAATTAGTGTAGTGGGAGCCTGGGTTATTGAAAGTTTTGTACATCATTTTCTTTTTTGGATTGAATAAAGCCAGTGCATCCTCCCAAAAATTTTAGACTGTGAATTTACTTATTTTGGACAAGTTGAAGATCAATTATTGAAAGTTGTATCCACCTAAAGTTATGGCTATGGTGGGACAACTCATTGAATTTCTGATCTTTTTCATCTATTCCTGATTGAGCAGCTACCCAAGTAGTAATACTCTATTTCTCTTAATTAGTGAGAAATTGTTCGTCAAGTCGTACTCTGCGATGGAAATTATTGAAGCTTTCACTCTCTTAATACCCAACTGTCATCCTGATCTAAAAAAGAAAAAATTAAGAATCTTTTAGAAAGTTCTTTTCTTAAATTATAGTACTCTCTCTGTAACACCATTTTAAATTTCTTTTTGTTTTGCACTTTTACTCTCAACTTTAAAAGTGAAATAATCTCCCTTTTAACCTTTTTTATTCTCATATCAAATTCACAAATATCTCTCAATCCCTCACAGCTTTCATTCTCTCGATCTCTCAATTTAAGCTTCCTCGATGGTTATTCAAAGGAGAGGAACATATTTGGATATAATACTGAATCAAATGTCTCATCATAGTCTATACCTTCGCTTTGGTTACCACACGAGCCTTGTAGCGATCATTAATCCCATTAGACTTGGACATTGTCTTGTATAATCACTTGCAATCTAATACACAAATTTCAAAATAAAAAGTTACCAGGGAAATAGGGGATGTAGCAAGTGTGCCTGTAGTTATTGCAGGATAAAGTATAGATATAAAGGAAATAATTCCCTCTGGTAGTAAAGTCGTAGGAAAATTGATTTGGATTCGATATCTACAAGAGCACCACTCACTATCCGTACAAAACTTACTCCTATAAGGTTTATGATTTCTCTTTTGGGTGGGGGCTTGGGGTGTTAACTGGGCAGAGCCAGTCCAAACCTTTTATTTGTCTTAAAAAATTATTGAACACAAATTATTAAGTTAGAGCCCAATAACTTTAAAGAACTAAAATTTCGAACCCATAAGATTCAAATCTTGGCTTCGCCTCTAGGTGTTAAGGGTTGAGATTATGTAAAACATTCTTTAATTGGTAAACTTGGTGACCTTTGGAAAAACCCCACATTGAGATTTTCTGTTCTATTCAAAGTACAAAATACACTTAACCTGAAAAAGTAGACCATGTCGAATTAGCAAAAGATTACTACAATAAAAACAATTTACCTTTTGTTGCAGAATCGAATGCGCACGCAACAATCTTAATATAACCCTGCATTTAGTTTTGCGCTTAATTCTACTCTTTGACGTGAAGTAAAAGCATAGTATGTGAAATATGACTTCATTTAATTTTAAATGTAAGTGGTCTCGAAATTTTGCCGATACAGAGAGGATTTTTATTTCGAACTGGTCAAGTGGTCAACTGATGGATGACAATTGTATTACCATAAGCAAAAGTTAGCGTAAGACCAATATTAGGCTATTTTAAATGTTAACGCATATGGGCATATATATGCATTTTGGCGAGACATTTTATTCATATTTTACATTTGCTTCTTTAAGATAGCATTGCCCGCTTCAATTTGAACCCAAAACTAGAAAACTAGGTTACTGTTGCTGGTACGATTTCCAGCCCTATAAGAAAGCTAAGTGCGTTGGTGTTAGTGCATTTTAATATTAATAATATTAAAGGACATTATTTCTTTTGAGATAGTGGTTATAAATTGGCAAGAAAGTAGTCAATTACTTTGATATAACTCATGAAACCACTAATGCCATAATCTACTGCTAATTACTCACTAAACATTAAATTTTGTAACCACCAACCATGTTCTATAAGTTTATTATCCCTACTTTGATATTTATTATATGGAAGAAATTCTACACATATAAATACTGGTGTTTCTTCCTTGTGTTGTAGATGAAAAAATATAGTAGTGTGTATGAAAAAAGTGAACTTGGTGTAGTGAAAAAGAGAGTTAAGAGAAAGAGAAAATTTAAGTCTCCAACTTATTCTCTACAAAAGAGAATATTATTTTTGTTGAAGGAAGGTGTTCATTTTGGTGGAACTTTGGACTCAATAACTTGTCCAGAGTTTGTTCGAGTCATACGACGTTGTCGGACTGTTGTATCTTGGAGGGGACAAATCAAGTGTAGTATTGCTTGACCGGTGGAGCTGTTACCACAGTGGGCTTGAATCTCCTTAAAGCTAAGAGAGCGAGATATCCGTGCCTCAACCTGAAGATATTTTATTTTCTTCATTTTATTTTTCAACTGCAATTGTATTTTTCGCCAATAATTTTAAGGAGATTCAATTTTTTATGCAGTTGAAAAAATAGCAGATATCAAGATAGAAGTTCACTCTCTTTATGAGATGGAAAGGTCAAAAAATTTCTACTTGTTTAGCTCAAGTGGAGAAAAGGTAAAGCCTTTTTACCCTTATATTTTTATGACTGTAAGATTATATTATTTATAAATTTTTATAATTCTAGAAATTGTGGAGATAAAATAAATAAAATATTTTAAGAATAATGGAGGTATAAGAAATAAAATATTGTTGCATGAAAATTTTGAATACTCACGCATGAGCGAAAGTTAATTAAATCAAGAAATGTGATAAGTGCATCTATCGTAAGTCTTGGAATAATTCACATGTTATTATTTGTCTCTATATTGATGATTTATTAATATTTGTTTAACATGAATGTTATTGGAGAAACTAAAAGCATATTTAGTATCTATTTTGACATGAAATATTTGGATGAGACAAATTTTATTCTTGAAATGAAAATTTAATAAAACATGTGATGCAAGTTTCCTTGACCAGTCACATTATGTTGAAAAAATTATGAAAAAAAATAATTTTATTGATTGCAAGCATGTTGTAACTCCTTTTGATTTAAATGTTCACTTATTTCCCGTACAAAGTGACAATGGGTGATAAATCAAAAGAAACATGCTAGCTTAATATATTGGAAGCTTGAGAATATGTGACTCATTGCACTTGACTTGATATTACATGCGCAATAGGAGTTCTCAGTAGGTTTACAAGCAAATCAGGTAATGAACATTGGCACATGCCATAACAAGAGTTATGAGGTATCTACTCGGTACAAAAACCTATGGCTTACTTTATAAAAAATATCTTGTTGTACTCGAAGGCTTTTCTGGTGCAGATTGAAACACTTTATCTGGCGATTCCTGTTTTATTACAGGTTATATTTTTACTTTGAGAGGTGGTGCTATTTGTTGAAAATTAAAAAAAAAATAATTGCTTACTCTATCATGGAGCCTGAGCTAATTGCTTTAGCTTTAGCTAGTAAGGAAGCGAATTGGTCGAGAGATTTATTATTTCAAATTCATTCTTTTTAAAAACCAATTCTTCCTATTTTAATTCATTGTGATAGCACCGTTGCTATTGGTAGAGTCCAAAACAGTTATTACACCGGTAAATTCAGACCTATAAAAAATATCATATTATGTGATATTTGAAAAGTGGTAAAATTGATGTTGATTATGTGATAATTTTGCAAATCCACGAACCAAGGCCTTGGCAAGAAAAATGGTCTAGAGTACATCGAGGGGGATGTGATTGAAGCCCATAAACTCATAAGTCATATCAACTTGTGGACTAGAGATTCTATAACCAGGTTCAATGGGAAGAATGAATCATATGATGGCTTGGTTTGAAATGCATTATTACATTTATTATTGTTCCATCCCTATGGTGTGAATGCATTTATCTTGTAATGTTTGCGAGATTGAGTTTTATTAACTCTTAATGAAAATCTGTAGCTCGTATGAGTGGGGTATTAGAGTTACAGAAGCATCCTTGACAGATTTTACCTATATGAGTGTGGAAGTAGGCCGCCTCCTATGAGAATTGGGCTTATTCTCAAAAACACTCATGAAAACCGGAATAGTACAAGCCCGTAATGTGCTGGCTAATAAAGCTCATGTCAATACCTTGATTATTATGTGTAAGTAGTGATACTTTATTTCCCTAAAGCAGTCATAGTTAAAGTCTGAGACCACTACTACTCTGGAGTAGAGATTGTTGTTTTACTAAGTGGATGTTCAATGTAGAGCACACCTTCATTATACATAATAGTCTCCCTTCAACTGTAAACTATCTTATTTTAATATTAAAATGAGTGAGGGAATGCTGATGTTAGTGCATTTTAATAGTAAAATTATAATATTAGAGCGCATTATTTCTTATGAGATAGTGGTTATAAATTGACAAAAAATGGTCAATTACTTTGGTGTAACTCATGAAACCACTAATGCCATGATCTACTACTAATTACCCAATAAATATTAAATTTTATAACCACCAACCATGTTCTACAATTTAATTATCCCACTACTTTGATATTTATCATATGAAAGAAATTCTACACCTATAAATAGTGGTGTTTCTTCCTTGTGTTGTAGATGGAAAAATATGGTAGTGTGTATGAAAAAAGTGAACTTGGTATAGTGAAAAAGTTAAGAAAAAGAGAAAATTTAAGAGGGTGTTTGGCTAAGCTTATAAGCTGGTCAAACTGGCTTATCAACACCTTTTGGCTTATCTACGTGTTTGGTAAATACCATAGTGCTTATAATCCAAGTGCTTATAAGCTAAAATCAGCCATAAGTCATAAGCTGGGCACCCCCAACTTATGGCTTTGCAG